TCTCTCTCTCTCTCTCTCTCTCACACACACACACACACACACTGTCATATTATGCCTGCCTCATGATGAAGTATGAAGTTGCCAATGATGTAGCAGTTCTAACATATGATCATTAAAGAAAGCAATGCAACATCACAATGGAGAAAAGCAGAACAGTAAACACATTAATGTCTAACCTTACAAAACCCAGCATTGACAGACAGGGTGTGCCAGTGTTCTTTATTTTGTCTTGAGACATTCGTGATTTTTTTCCAGTTCTAGTATTTAATTAAGTGAATGAACAGAAAGCATAACAAATCATACAGTCAATTGATAGTGAGTTAACCCCTTGGGCTTATGAAGACATGTAATATAGATTTACCCACAGTCAGCCCAGTACAAATAACTACAGTCTTAAATACATAAGTAGCATAAAATATTAATTATCTTTATATCAAACAATCATGCACTTATCCTAGGGGACTTAAAAAGGTTAAAAAACAAGTTCTGAAATTCCAGTTTGTTTTGTAATATGGCAGGAAACTTCAGTGTTGTGTTAGTTAATAAAAAACAATACTTGACATCAACTTCCAATCTAAATGGTAGCGCTGTGGGTCGGTTGCCTGGGGAGAAGAGGCATGAGAAGAGCACCTGACAGACACCGGGGAGGGGATTAAGTCTAGGTTCCGTCACAGGGTGAGAGTCTCTACATCAAATATTGACCCAGTGATGAATTATGTTGTTTTGGTGATGTCTTGAGAGATACTGAGATGATAGAGACATTTTGTTATCACTGGGAGGTCTTGATGTGAGATGTACAGGTATGTACTAGTTGGCTAGAAAGATTGTTTCCTCCACCTATATAGGAGATAGTGTTTTCATTGACATTGGGTTGTCTCTTTGTCTGTTTGTGAGATAATACTAGTAAGTGGATAAGATATTTGAAAAAAAATCTTACTGGTAATTGATATTTGGTGGCATGATCAGGATGGACGGTTATTCAGGAAGGAAAGAGACCTGTGTGAAGTTACACTCATCTGAATCTGGTCCTTATGATATTTTAGAAATATAATTTATTCTTTTTCCTTATGGTGTTCAGGTATGTACTAGTTAAGTAGGAGGATAGGTTTCTCCACCACGCTGGGTTGTTACGTCTTCATGAATGTTAGGTTGTCTGCTTGTATGTTTGTTAATTAATATAATAAGTTGACAAGATATTTGAAAAAAGGTTTTCCTAGTAATTGACTTTTGATGAAATTTTCAGCAAAGACAGTTATTCAGGAAGGAAAGAGACCTGTATGCAGTTATTTTTAAAATATGCATTCTTTTTCCTTATTTTTTTATTTTTGTTTTTGTTGATGTGAAAAGCAGGCTGCCCTACAGTACTCTTCCATACAGTAAAAGGACAAAAATACTATGTAGAATAAATATTTTTATGATTCCAAAGTTATGTTTCTTCTGAAAAACCTAGATAATTTTTCTCCATTGCAAAGATAAAGTACTTGCTGTATTTGTCACTTGTCTGTTTTAAATTTCTCTCTCCCAGGACTGTACTCTTAGGGGTGTATATTGCATACTTCAGTCTGGGCGTCTCCTTGTTGATATCCTTTGTTGTTGTCTATAGTGCAAATGTTTCAGTGAAGCATTATGGATATGGAGACTTAGTAGTAAGTGTTTAGGTGTACATTTGTGGATGAGCTTCTTTGATTATTTTTACTTTTTGATGGTGGTCAGTCATATACTTCAGATATTTTTCAATTCTCTCTCTTTTTCCTTTCCTTTCTCTCTCTCTCTCTCTCTCTCTCTCTCTCTCTCTCTCTCTCCCTTTTATACACACTAATACATTTACCAGTAACTCCATCAATAATAACCAGGTAAGCAGAATGAGTTCATTAGGTTATTGAGGCTGAAAAGTAAGGAAATCAATGCACTCACACACTGATTCAATACCGGCCTTTCACTGTGCCACAAACAAATTACTAACATTAGGGCAGGATATGGAAGCTAATTGTCAGCGTTGCTCACACGGGGTTAGCTGTATAACACCTTGCTGTATTATTTCTAGCCGCTGTGAGGTAAAATCAATGGGAACTTTTTCAAATGGACTTTTGATACAGTTTAAGATGCTAAGATTTTTTCTAGCAGGTGAGTTGGACCAAATGTGTTGGTACTTAAGGGACTTATGATCTACTGTGCCTGTCCTTAGCTACAGAACCTGTTTCACAAAGCAACATCAGACTGAGAGTTGGTGTGGAATTGTTTATCATATTTTTAATTGCTTTGGTTAGATCTGGCCGTGGTGCAGTCAAAAGAGGTATAATGTCTGTTTTATGAGATCAGACTGGAGAAATATATGGCTACTGTTTTCAGGCAATATAGGGTTATTGGTACTAGTACTCTTCTTCTGTTTGTGACTCAGAGCTGCAGATGTTTTTACAAACAGACCATGGAATCACAGTTTCAGTCATTAATCTGGGGATCACAATCACGGATCTGCAGCTCCGAGTCGCAGTTATTATTTATGAGTCCTGGATTAGGCCAGCTTTCAGACTAAGGCCACACTTTTTTAATTTTATGGATGACATCCTCTGGGTACCCCAAAATCGGTGCGAGAGGGCGAAAAAAAAAAAAAAAAGGTCCAAAAAAAAAAAAAATACTGCTTAAGTAAAGGAATGCTGTCAGTACACAGCTGGAAACACAAACTTTACCACAGAAACACGTATCAAACTAACAATATGTCTTTATCCATGCTCTCAAAATATTAAAGCATTGTGAATACTTCGTAGAAATGTAAAAAAGTCATGAATAGATATACTTCTTATTACAAAATCTATTAAGGTTATTTCATGCATTTTGTTGGTAAAGCAATCAATAAAACAAACATCAAACAAACAGTGTCTTTATTTGTATTCTCAGAATATTAAAGCATTTTGAACACTATTAAAGGTCATTTCGGACGATGCGATTTTGTCTACTTCTACTCACACGACCAAACTGTCAGGTGGCCTGTCCGACCTTCAGCCCACCAAATACCTCGACGCCCTTGTCGACCCTTTTTTCGCTACAGAAAACCTGGTAGCCTATGTGCTGCTTTGTACAGAATGTCACTGAAATTTTTCGGGCGATAATCGCTGGCGGCCGACAGCCTTTCGCACAATTGTAAAAAGGTGATATCTCCATGCCCAATATCAATGGCATACCAATCCAAAACGACGGCACCCGTTCTCTTTATGACTTTAATTGTCTTGTAATTTGAA